TGGCACAGGACAGAGTGGAGTTTAGGGCTGTTGTACATAGGGTCGCTATGAGTCACAAACGACTCGATGGCACATAACAACAACAACAACAACATATGGTAATGATAATAGAAACTCAAACTTACTGCTGTTGAGTCAGAACGAATTTGTAGCTGACCTGTCTTTGGATTTCTAAGGTTGTAAATTGCATGGGAGGAGGCCGCTCATGCTGCCACCTTCAAGTCGATAGGCACTTATTATGATGATTAAAGGGAAAGGCAATTGACAATAATAATTACATGATCAGACCTTCTTGCTACTGTGATGCATGTTATAAAACAAAATGTGTATCGATGATTGAATGGGGAAAAAAAGTTTTAAAATATTCACCAGAGTCACAGTTTTTTAAAAAGTTGTTTTTTGTTTTTTTTGAGGAAAATGGTATGAGTCAGTATCTGGCAAAAGCCACCCCTAAAGGCCCAGTATTTCCAACTCGAGGTACTTTTAGATTTAACTAAGCACAGGGGTTGTACAGCACAACACAGGATATATTTTAAGAGACTGCCCTCAAGAGTCTATGGATGGGGCAGACACTGAATTGATGGGAGGCAAACTACATTTGTAATTGTCTCTGTTCTTTCATAGGTATGTGGAACTGACCAACTACTGCGACTATAAAGACTACAGGGAAACAATACTGAGCAAACCAATGCTGTTCTTCATCAACGTCCGGACCACAAAAGACACTCCTAAAGGTAGGTAAATCAGGGTTAAGGATGTGGCTCTGCCTTGCTGGGCTATGTAGACATAAGCATGTTCATGAAGTAGAAGTAGATATGCTTATAGACTGAATTGTGTGTCTCACAAAATACATGTGTCAATTTAATTGGACCATGACTTTCAGTATTATGTAATTATCTTCCATTTTGTAATCTGATGTAATTACTTTCCATTTCTGTTATAATGGTACTATAGTATTAGAGAACTAAGATAGAGAAGGAAGTGTGTTTATTAATTTATGACAAAGTAAGAGCAGAGTACCTGGTTATGAGCCCATTTGCAACATAGCACTAGCCTGCCTACAGAACAGATACTGAAATTATTTTGAAGAATTCATCTATTTCCAAGTTTTATTTAGTACTTTTTCGTGTAAACAGGAAATGAACTGACATTTTGATCTTGCAAGGATTACACAAATGACTAGAATGATGATGATATTTAAAAGTATCTATTATAAGTTGCCAAAAGAACAAACAGATATGTCTTAGAAAAAGTGCAGCCTATGTGTTTCTTGGAGGCAAAGATAGTGAAGCTTCATCTCTAATACTTTGGATATGTTTTTAGGAGAGGCTTATTGCTTGGAAAGGGACATCATACTTGGTCAGTAAAAGAGAGGAAGATCTCAGTGGGATGGATTGACACAGTGACTGCAGGCAGCCATCTCAAGTGTGTCAAAGATGATGAGGAAAACACAGGATAGGATAGTGTTCAGGTCTATTGTTCATAGGATCATTATGAATTGTACTCAATTCAACAGCACCTAACAACAACAAAAGCAGCAGCAACAAAACAACCACTGTTTATCAAAGTTAGCCCTTGTGGCACAATGACTAAACACTTGGCTGTTAACTAAAAATTTGGAGATTCAAATTCTTTCGGAGAAAGACCTGGTGATCTACTTCTATAGAGATCATAGCTAAGGAAACCCTAGGGGGCAGTTCACTGTCAGTCAGAACTTGTAAAACCAGTGGAGGCAGCATGGAGATGGCCAAGTCTGACTTCTAGTAACTCCACAAAGGGGAATTGTCCCCTTTAACAACATCCACAGTACAAAACCAATCCTGCGAAGTCAGACATGGTCTTCTACAACCCTGTACCTACTTCTACTAATTCCAACATCAATCTTAACTACTCTTCTGAGTCCAAAATTCATTGCAATTATTACATAGATTTTACAGAACCATATTCACAGATGTGGGGTTTATTGGGCTGTGTTAACAGGCTGGCAGTGGGAGACAATCCCTCAGTGCAGACAGCTTCTCATGTGAACAGTTCCTCAGTGAAGACAACTTCTCCAGTATGTTCACAAGCCCTATGGACCTTCAGTTACAAAGTTTTCTTAGTCCTGCTAGTCATGGAGTCTCCTCCTCAGTCCTCCTGCAGGCTTGAGTGAGAAGATTGCTGGCTCTGATTCTGTGGGGCAGCAGTTCCAAGTCAGTTATGTCTCATGTTAATCTCTGGTTCTCTGCTCAGGCTGCTTTGCTCCTAGAATAGATCTTAGTCTGGCTGGTGTAAGAATCGTTGGCCTCAAAGGATGTGACGTGCTTCCTCTTCCTTGTTAGTGTTGAAACTCCCAACTTCTGCCACTGACTCCACTTAATTTAATGACGAGACTAGTTAATTCCCTTGGAGATAGACCAACATATCCTATTTGCATGATCCTGCCTATCTATGTGACAAAGTAAAAGTTAATGGCTAGGAAAGTAATTTTGAACAATAAACCCTTAACACCATAAAAATATATGAAGAAAATGATGGCATTAGTACAGGAGGAAAACTCATCCAGCAGATAACATAGCCTTGCTTGCAGAAAGTGAAGAAAACTTAAACCACTTTCTGAAGAAAATAAAAGACTATATATTGCTTTCAGTACAGATTACATCTCAACATCAAGTAAACGAAAATCATTACAACTAGATCAATAGGCAACATCATGATCTGTGGAGAAAAGTTTGAAGTTGTCAAGATTTAATTTTACTTGTCTCCACAATCAACACCCATAGTATTAGAATTAAGGAATCAAAAGACATACTACATTGGGGGACTGTACTGTCAAAGACCTCTCCAAAGTGCTAAAGAGTAAAAATGTTAAAGACTAAGGTGCACCTTATCCAAGCCATGACATTATCAATTGCTTTCTATTCATCTGAAAGTTGGGCAATGAAGAATTATTAGCTTTGAATGATTCTTTTGAAATGTGAATCAAAGCCTTTGAATTGTGCTGGTGAAGAAAAATGAATATGCCTTGGGCTGCCAAAAGAACAAACAAATCTGTCTTGGAGAAAAGTATAACAAGGATGCTCCTTAGAAGCAAGAATGGTGAAACTTTTTCTCATATCCTTTGGGTATGTTATCAGGAAGGACCAGTCTTTGAAAAATCCATAGCAATTGGTTTGGTTTATTGATCTACCTATGAGCTAAGTACTTCTGTTGTTGTTAGGTGCCGTTGAACCGAATATGACTCATAGCAACCCTAGGAACAAAAGATCTGAACCCTGTTCTATCCTGCACCATCCTCACACTTTCTGACACACAAGAGCCCATTGTGGCAGTCAATCTACATGGTCAAGGATCTTCCTCTCCTTCGCCAACCCTCCACCTTTTCTAGAATCATGTCCTTCCTCAAGGAATATCTCCTCCTAACAACATGCTCAAAGTATGTGAGGCAAAGCCTCATCATTCTTGCCTCCAAAGAGCACTCCAACTGCACCCTCTCTAAGAAATATTCGTTCTCTTGGCCATCTATGGTATGTTCAGTGCTCTTCTTCCACACTATAGCTCAAAGGCATTGATTCTTCTTCCTCAATAATTTGGAAATGTCCCTAACTGAAGATTTTCCCAGTGCAATGTGTCTTCTTATTTCCTGACTACTGATACTAAGGGTGTTAATTGTGGATTCAAGCAAGTTGAAACTGTTGACAGTTTTAATCTCTTCTCCATCCATCATGATGTTGCCTATTGGTCTAGTGGTAAGAATCTTTGGTTTCTTCAGACTGAGATTCAATCCATACTGAAGGCTGTATTCCTTGATCTTCTGCAACAGGTGCTTCAAGTCCTGCTCACTTTCAACAAGCAAGTACCTTATTCTCCCCATTTAACACTGGAGGCAAGTGAGGTGAAAAGAACCAATAGATTTATCTGCTCCAAAGGAACAGATTTGGACTACTGCCGTTGTTATTATCAGTGCAATACAAACCACAGTACAACACTAAGACACCTTATTGTTTCAATATGATACGAGACATACAATGAAAAGGCTGGGCCATTTAGAAGCTTAAAATGATTATGCTAATAAGAATTGGGATTAAGGCAATATATCCAGCCCTACTAGTAGTCCTGTTGGGAGCTCTGGTGGTGTAGTCTGTGGGATGTGGTGCTGTAGATCCAAAGGTGGCACCTCTCTGGTGGTTCAAATCTACTGGCTGCTCCGTAGGAGAAAGATGAGTAATCCCCTTTCATGTGTTTTACAACCTCCGAAAACTACTGACCCACGGGAGGGTCAGCTGAATTGGCTCTAACTCGATGGCAATGAGTTGGCTTTTGTTGCACTGATGACTTGTATATACTGCATCTCTGTACACGTTAGAACAAATGCATCATGTTCTTCCCACACAATTCCTCCAGCAAATCGGCAACGTCTATCAACTCACATGATCATGAAACCTAGGAAATAATGCCCATGGATGTGCACAGTGGCTCCTATAAGGACAAAACTAAGCACAACCTATTACCATTGAGTTGATTCAGTCACCCTAAGACAGGGAAGAGATGCCCCATAGAGTTTCCAACATTCTCATCTTTATAGAACATCATGGAAGAGGGAAGAGGAAGTGATTCATTTGCATGAAGGGCTTGGTGCAGATTAGTGACAGAAGAAGTGTAGTCAGAGTGTTCCTTAGACCTGAGGATGGTGAGACGTCACATAATTCTGACAGGAGGGGCCAGTCCTTGGAGAAGGACATCCTGTGTGGTAAAGAAGGGAGCCAGGGAAAAAAGTTGGACTTCCAATGACATGAACTGACTGGCTGCGACAGTGGGCTCAAGTGCAGCAATGATGTGACGACAGAGCAGGACCAGGCAGGCAGTGGTTTGATCTGTTGCACACAGGGTTTCTGCGAACCGAAGTGGACTCATTGGCACCGGACAACAATTACCTCATGCCACAGGCATGGGTTAGCAGCTGGTCTTCATCATGGTCTTCCCAGATGAGATATCTCATTTCTGAGACTTGTGTGACAAACTACAGTCCTGAGAGACTTCATTTTCTTAGCTGTTCTCTTATTTTCCTGTCAAGCCTGCACAATCATATGGCATCTTTTACCTAGAAATATTGTTGGTCTTTGCTGCCAGGGAAGAGTGGTGAGGGAGACCAGAGATGGATGTGGCTTCACGTCAGGTGGAGGTCACTGCTGTACGGAGTCCTGAGAAGTAGGTCCACACACATGCATGCTGCTTCAAAATGCTGCTTCCTGTTTTCTAGAAAAGACCTACGCCTTCCTTGTGAACACAAGGCATCCCAGGATAAGAAGACAGATTGAGCAAGGGATGGATATGGTCATTTCATCTGTCATTGGAGAGAGCTACCGGCTCCAGGTAAGCTTTAAACCCAAACCAAACCCACTGCCTGTCATGTCAATTCCGACTCCAAGCAACCTTCTATGGGGTTTCAGGAGGAAACGGCCCGTTTTTCTCCCAAGAAGCAGCTGATGTATATGAGCCTCTTACCTGTGATTAGCACCATAATATGTAACACACTAAGCTTTAGCCTGTCTGAATCCAGAGCTGAGAGCACAGAGGAGTCTCCAAGTGATGCAAACTGTTAATGTGCTCTATTGCTGACTGAAAGATTGCTTCCAGGGCAGCTGGTTTTCTATCGCACAGGAAAGAGCATGGACATTGGATTCAGGAACTGATTCCTGAGAGCATTTACTGAGCTTGCTTCAAATGCTCTGCTTTCCATGGCTTCATTTCATGTTCTCATTTTTCTCTCCCCAAGCTCTGCTGGTGGATTTGAACAGCTAACCTTGCAGTTGGTTGCACATTGCGTGATGTACTAGATTTGCTCCCAGCAACTTGTTAGAAAGGAGATCTGAAGAAATGTGATTTTGGCTAAACAGTTCAACATTGGTAGATTGTTGTTGTTGTTGTTAGGTGCTGTCAAGTTGAGTATGACTCACAGTGACCCTGTCAAGTTGAGTATGACTCCCAGTGAACCTATGGACAACAGATCTGCAGCCTGTCCTATTCTGTGTTGTAGGTGGGGTGTGATGGAAACACAAGCCAGAGTAAACTGCCCAACAGGGTTTACAAAACTGTCATCACTACATAAGTGGGCTGCCTCACCTTTCTCCCACACAGCACCTTGTGGGTTCAAACTGCCTATCTTATGGTTAGCAGCCAAGTGCTTGGGATTTCTAAACACTGACTTTTTGGAAAGTAGCCGAGACTTCTAACCACTTGTTACCAGGGTGCCTGAAAATGCAAAGATTTTCCTTTTAAAAAAAAAAATCAAGGCAACAGTGAACAAAGATCTACCAAGTGAGGAAAAAAATAAGAGGTCTGATGGCATTGGGCATGTGAGCAGTTGCTAATTCTATAGTGTTGATGTTAGAATTATACATGTGACATTCATTCCTGTTTTTCTCTCTCGCAGTTTGATTTTCAAGATGTGGTGAAGAGTTTCTTCCCTCCAGGAAATGAGGTGATTAATGGAGACAATTTGAGCTTTGCCTTTGAATTCAAAGCAGACGCGCTGTTTGATTTCTTCTATTGGTTCGGGCTCAGCAATTCGACCGTGAAAGTGGACGGGAAGGTGTTGAACCTGTCCAGTTCAAGTCCAGAAAAGAAGGAGACTATTAAATTATTTCTGGAGAAGATGAGTGAGCCTTTAGTTCGAAGGAGCAGCTTCTCTGACCGCAAGTTCAGTGTCACCTCCAGAGGTATGTTGGAAATACTTTAGACTGGGGGACCCTGAGACTGGTGCTTAAACACCCTTTGAGCCTGAACTGGGCTAGCCTCAATTTACAGTCAGTTGTTATAGGTGCTGTCAAGTTGCTCTGTTCCGTCGTGACCCCTTGTGCAACCGAATGAAACCCTGCCTGGTCCTGCACCAGCCTCACTGTCTCTACTGTGGCCAAGCCCATTGTTGCAGTCCCTGCGTCAGTCCATCTCACTGAGGGTCTTCCTCTCTTTTGCCGACTCTCTACTTTTCTCAGTATGATGTCTCTCTTTAAGCACTGGTTCCTTTTGAAAATATGCCCAAAGTACGTGAGACAAAGTCTTACCATCCTTACATCTAAGGAGTACTCTGGCTATACTTTCTCCAAGCCAGCTTTGTTTGTTCTTTTGGTAGTCCATGGAATATTAATATTCTTTGACAACACAATAATTCAAAAGCATCAATTATTCTTTGTTTTTCCTTATTCATTGTCCAGCTTTCACATTCATATGCCAAACAATTGACAGGCTTTAATAACCAGTAGCATCAGGGAGGTGTGCACTTCTTTGAAGAATCAACTGTACAAGATCAAAGGGGTGGTGTTTGCCCAGGAATAAAGCTCATAAAGCAGGAGTAAGAAGACAGAGGGAAGAATGGAAACAAGAATCACAGTGAAGAAGTGGGAAGGGTGCTGATAGAGCAAATCAGATTCAATTCCTGGCTAGTGCCCCTCATGTGCAGCCACCAGGCACTTGTCAGTGGAGGCTTACATGCTGCTGTGATGCTGAAAGGGTTTCAGAGGAGCTTTCAGATTAAGATGGGGTAGTAAGAAAGGTTTGGCAATCTACTTCTGAAAAATCAGTCAATGAGAACTGCATGTTCATAGCATTATGCCCCACATGGAAGGGGCAGGCCCAGGCAGTGTTTGGCTCTGTTGTACACAGAGTGTCATTGTATCTGGGGCAGCTGACCTCAAGCTTTCTAACATGATAGTTCTACTATGTAGTACAGCCCAGCCAGAAAAGAAACTCTAAAAATTTGCTATGGAATTAAGTAAAATATTAATGCTGACTTAAAAATTGTTAATAATCATTTAACTATTAAAGAGTTCCGCTTCCTCGATGTGCCTAGCCTGGGCAGCAGAATGTTAATTGACAGTATTGTTTGGGTAAGCTTTTCACAGTTAACATATCGATCTTTAATAATGCAGTGAGACCCCGGAAAGCCAGGTCTTCATGGGACTGGCTTGCATTCCTGGGTTTGGAAAATTTGGGAGCTTTGACAGGATGCAGTCTTGGTGGCTTGAAGTGCTAAGTGTTGCTCCAATTGAAAGGTAAGCTGCTTGAAGCCACCATCCGCTCTGTTGGAGAAAGGCAGGCAATCACTTCCCACAAGGTGGTGCAGGACAGAAGGATTCCCAGGAATCAGAATTACAGGGAGGAAGTGGGAAAGGTGCAATTGCGTGTTGGGTATTGTAGTTAATATTATAAAACATAATGAGAAAGCAGTGTGCTTTTTAAACTTTCACTCAAATCACCAAAGGAAAATAATAAAAAATATGCCACAACATTTACAGCCTCAGAAACCCCGATGTAAGGTAGCCATGAGTCAGAATCCACTCACCACAAGAGTTTGTTATCGTTTTTTTAATGGAAAAGGGGCTCTGGTGGCACAATGAATGAAGCATTCAGCTGTCAATTGAAAGATCAGCGGTTGAAGCCCAGTAGCTGCTCCATGGAGAACTGCTTCCTTTTAGAGGGAAGATGTCTCTCCCCTGTTGAGAAGTGGGTTAATGTGAGCATATCAAGCTGATAACTGGAAGGTCAGAGGGTTGGGTCCACCAGTCATTCCACAAGAGAAAGCATCCTTTCACAAAAATTTACAGCCTCAGAAACCTGACAGAGCGTTGCGGTGAGTCAGCACCAACTCTACCACAGTTGGGTTTTGTTTTATGGAATGTGAAGCCTTTCATATATGTTGTTGTTGTTAGATGTCGTTGAGTCGTAGGCTCCCTACGAATGAAAGTCCACAATAGTTGTGTGACTTTCATCCTTTCTCCATGTTCATAGGGTTTCCCCGAGGCAAGCTATTTATGGAAGTGGATGCCACTCCAGGTTCCAAGCTTGTTTTAGCCAGGGAGCTCCACCCAACACTGTCCACTCTGGGTAACCATTATCGCATTTGACACATCAGTGTCACAGTGTTCAGCTTCACAGTGACCACAAGTTGCCTCTGTACAGTAAGTGGACATACCAGGGCTATACGACCTAGAAGAATGTTTCACCAAAAACAATTAAAGACAGGATTTTAATCTACTGCCTGGGCCAACCTCCGCAGGCTCCACCATTACTTCCCCTAGTTTAGGGCTCTGGGCCACCCACCTACTTTTGAAGGGCAAGAAAGAGCAGTAACACACAGCAAAAAGGACCCCAGAAACTTCTCTTGCCTTGACTGCCACCAAAGTCGAGCCACCATAGAGATGCCAGCCATCCTGCCAGTCAGCCTTTAATATATAGATACATTTTATTTTTACATTATTGGTTTTGTAATGATGTCTGGATTTGATCAGACACCATTCTAAGGGCATGTGGCTCATTTCACAACTTCTTTGCTCTTTACTGACTACAAACTCTTTTCTTCACTACTGTAAATACGTGGTAACTTCCCCTAAAACACATCTGTGCCCCAAATGTAGGCCTACTGGTTAACCTAGGAGGACAAGTCCACACAACTGTCCGCTAACCTGTCCCAGCCCTTGGAAAAGTGTGTCCAGCATGTCCTACCACTCTCGTCCCCTCATCCCTGCAAGCAAACAGCAACCCGTTTCACTTTAGTCCTCAAGTTATTCAAGGAAGCTATGATTCTCTACTCATTATTAGAGATGTTAGGTTTCGTATTAAAGCACCCTGGTGGTTCAGTGGATTGAACATTGGCCAGCTAATCAAAAAGTTAGTGGTTTGAACCCACCAGGCTCTCTGTGGGTGAAAGATTTCTTTCCCTGTTTCCCCTAAAGATTGAAAACACCACAAAACCCCAAACAACCCTCTAAAGATACCCCATAGCCACCCACTCCCGGCCTTCCCCACACCCCACTTCCATGGACTCCATTCTGATGCTCAGCGACCCTACCTCAGTTTTTTGAGGCTCTTTCTCTCACAGTGTGACTGACGGATTTACAATCAACCTTTAGGTTATCCTGATACATGAATGTGCTACCCCACCAAGAGTCCCTTTCCATAAAGTTTACTGTGTGGGAACCCTACGGGGCAGTTCTGCTCTGTCCTGCAGGGTCCTGGGGGTGGAATTGACTGGATGTCTGGTGTGTGTGTGTGTGTGTGTGTGTGTGTGAGAGAGAGAGAGAGAGAGAGAGAGAGATGCCCTGTGTCCAGATGTTAAAGCTGACCCCCCACCTTGTCCCTCTCTCAGCGATAGGAAATAACACAAGCTTTGCTGGCTATTTTAGGTTCCATAGATGACGTTTTCAACTGCAATCTGTCGCCCAGATCATCTGTCACAGAGCCTCTTTTGGCAGAGCTGCCATTTCCAAGTCTGCTGGAAGCGGAGGAGACGCCCAATCAATTTGTCTGATTGGGTCTTTCTCCTCATGACTCTTCCTATGCTGAAGACCCAGGCAAGGATGGAAGGAGGAGGACGAGGAGAGGAGGTGGGAGCAGACCCTGCCACCGACTGGCCAGTTCCCCCTGACTTCTCCTTGGCTTCTACAGAGACTGATGTTCAGTGAGTGAGGTGCAACTGATGTCATGGATGGCATGGTGACCAGAAGGCTGGTCTGCGACCCCGTGGTCTGTGACAGTCTCCTGGACTTTCAGCATTTCTCCCAAAACCCTGAGGCGTGGCAGATTCCTGCCCCTGACCACTGGGTCTAGTGTCCTACCATCTTGGAAACCTTTTAGGCAGGCTTTATGGGGGTGGTGGGCAACATCATGATGTCTGGTTAAATAAAAGCAAATGACGTTTATTTAGGGATTGAGACAGTCCAGACTGGGGAAATGTCTGTTGTCACACAGTAAAATGACCATTCAGGTGGACCAGGGGAGGGGTACATTCCTGCAGTGTGAACTAAAAGCTATCACGCTCTCCACTAGCTGAAAGACTATCAAGGGAGTTAAGGGGGGTGATTTTAAAGTGAGGATTTGACAGTGACTGGCCTGTAGCTCACAAGTGGGATTCCCTGCTTACTGGACAAAAGTATATGCCTTTCACTTTATAATGGCTTGGCCCCAGGCTGGTGGCTAGACAGGGTTTTCTGATAAACTGTTAGTAAAATTGCTTCCTCAATCATGTCTGCTTCTTGGGGTCCACTGATAATGCTGAGTTTCCCAGACTCTTCAGGTCCAAGCTGTCACATCTTGTACCTATTTCGAAATAATAGACCCTAGAGACAAGATTGCAGTTTTCCTGTACCTTCTGGATCTCAGAGTAAAGGGATGTTTGTCTTAGGGTCTACAGTCCAACTTAACACCACAGTTAAAGGGGTGTCCTTTGCAAACATAGTTTTGAAAAATCCAGTGTAGATTCCAGACTGGTGTAAAAACTTTAAGGTAAAGCCGGGGCTCTGGTTCCATTTACACACAACCAAGTGCCTCTGATTTTAGATTCTTACTTTTGTTGGGCTCATGGTATTGGCCCTCTTCTTAGGACATCCTTGACTGTACCCAAGCCCAGCAAGCATGAGGTCAGTGTGGCTGTCCCTTGCCAGGCTGCATGGGAGGCAGACATGTTTTCCTCCATCTGCAAGCCTGATGGGAGACCTTCACGATCACTGGGGGCTCAACCAGCCTCCCAGGTTTATGACCGTCACCCTCAACTTGGAATTTGAGCTCCTCTGGCCTCTCTCTCAACTAAGTAACCCAGGAACAATGAGGCCAGGTATTATGGTGTCCAGCAATGACAAGGAAGGGTCATTTCCACCCCAGTGTCCTTTCTGAAAGTATATTATGCAACTTGGCATATTTTAAATGCACAGTCTGGTATCCTAACACTGAAAGCAAGATGGAAGAAAACTATCACATCACCACAACACACTGAGACATCAACACCGCTTTTCATCTTATAGTTACAATGGGAGGCTTCACAAAGGTGGTGGTGATGGTGGGGGCAAGTCCTTTCTACACATAAAAACCTTCAGGAATGAATCTACATCAGCGTCTAATGAGGGTCCTGAACCCCATTATTCAGTCCCTTTTAAAAGTATCTAGTCTGAAACTGCTGAGGATTACCCCTGCATTTATGTTTAAGATGCTATGAATTACTCAGAGCCATTACAGCCTTCCTTCACATACCACATGAATTGATTCCATTTGCCACCTCATGTGCCAGCCTTCCTGCCATGGTGGTTTGTGGGTCGATTTGCCTGGAAACCTGACTAAATGACAGTAAGGGCTGTGGGTTTCCACTCCCTCCCTCCACCACCCCTCCCCTCTGCCACCTGCTACAGTCAAAGAACAAAGCTTTTGATGAGCAGCTTCAAGGAAGAATTTGGAGAAAAGAAACTTTTGGAAAACAAAAAAGGATGCTACTTGGGATATAAATATTGGTTATTAAGAAATGAATATTTTTTAAAACCCCACAAATGAAGAATACTAACAATAGAAAGAGTTCAAGACAAGGAGAAACAAATCTCAAGGGAACCCAAACCAAAGCCCAATCATGTTACCTTTAAATCAGTTTTGACTCATAATAAACCACAGGGAGTGCTGGTGATCTAAAGGTAATGCAAAGGTAGGTGGTTCAAATCCACTAGCTTCCCTTCAGGAGAAAGATGGACAATCTCCTTTAATGCAATTTATAGACTCTGAAAGTCTGCTGGAGGGCTAGCTATGAGTCAGATCTGACTCACAACAAAAAAGTCATCAGGTTAATTTTGACTCCTGGGAACCATCCATTGGCTTCTGAGACTGTAATGCTTTCTAGCAGGAGACTGTCTCTTTCTCTAGAAGAAGGTAGTGGAAAACCAGCTGTTGCACTGGTGCCCGTGGGCTTAACCATTGAGCTACCAAAGAGAAATATGCTTCCTTGGGAAGTCAGCTAACATATAGGTGAAAAAGAGAACGTTTGGGAAAGTGTATTTATGTTAGAGTGTACCTGTACAGACCCACCTTGCTGCCGATGAGTTGATTCTGACCCACGGTGACTCCATAGGACCAAGTAGAGCTGCCCATAAGGCGTCCAGGGCTGATCTATACAAGAGCAGACTGTCCTATCTTTTCACACAGAGTGGGTGGCATATTCTAACTCCTGACCTGTCAGATAGCCAGCCACCCAGTGCTTTAACCATTATATTTTGGTAGAACAAATTATTTCCCTAAATACTGCATGACAATTATTTTATTTTTGTTAAGAGGTGGCCCAAGCTGATTGCCTACCTTAATGATCAGCTTCAGTTCCTCTTTGCTGTTTCAAACACTCGCTCTATCTCCAAAAAGCAAAGCTCTACTCCGATTTAAGAAATTCCAGGAAACTGGGGCCAGTTTCTATAGGGAGTATCTGAGGAATTTCAAACATACTAGCAGCAATGGGGGTACTATTAGAATAAATGATTAAAGAAGAGAATCTGGATGTAAAGTAAGTGCTGGTGTGTGGTGGAGTATTGTTAGGCTCCCTCGAGTCGGTTCTGACGCCTCCTGAGTCAGATACAACAATGTGCTGCCCGGTCCTGCACCATCCTCAAGATCATCACTATGTTTGAGGCTATTGTTGCAGCCCCTTTGTCATTCTCTCATCGAGGGTCTTCCTCTTTTCCCCTGACTCTGCTTTAACCAAGTATGCTGTCCTTCTCCAGGGACTGCTCCCTCCTGGTCACACATCATCCCAAGTGCATGAGATAAAAAGTCTCACCATGTTGGCTTATAAGGAGCATTCTGGCTGCAACTTCTTCCAAGAAGTATTGGCATAACAGATACAAAATAAATATTCATGCTTAATATCCACAATTTGAAAAGACAAGTAACAACGTAAGACAGTGGGAATCACGCAGCTGGTGTCTAGGCCACTCACTCAGTTCTTAAGAATTCAGAGAAGAGAAAAACATAGAAATGTGGTGAGTAGCATGGGCCACGAAGTGGTGTTTGGAGCCCTTAAAGTTAAGTACAACTCATACAGACCTTCTTAAAACCAGGCCCGAATCATGTCCTGTCCTGTGACATCCTCACCGGATTGAGAAGATTTGATGGAACTAACAGGATGAACTTGTAATCATATTTTTTATTTGGATGAAAGAAAGGCAGGCAGCTTGGTAAGAAGTTAGAAATTGTTCTTAGGTTACCTTGGAGTTGATTACAACTCATGGTCATAGTGACTTAAGAACAACAGAGCTGCAGCTTGCGCTGTCCTGTGCCCATGATTTCTGTCATGCTCAAGTCCATTGTGGTCGTTACCCTGATGCCAATCCATCCCACTGAGGGAGGTCCTCTCTTTTGATGATCCTCTGTCTTTCTCAGCATGAATGTCTTTCTCCAATAATTGGTTCCTCCTGAAAATACAACCAAAGTAAGTGAAATGAAGTTTCACAGCTCTTGCCTCTAAGGAACACTCTAGTTGAATTTCCTTCAAGACAGTTTTTTTGTTTTGTTTAACTTTTCACAGCCCATGGTATTTGAATACTCTGCCAAGACCACACTTTAAAGGCATCAATTTTGCCATCCTTATTCATTATCCAGCTTTCAGATGAATAGGAAGCAACTGAAAATACCATGGCTTACATCAGGCATCTTCATCTTTAAACTGACATCCTTACTTTTTAGAACTTTGGAGAGGTTCTCAACAGCAGCATTCCTCAATGCAACATACCTTTGGCTTTCTTGACAGCTGCTACTATGGATACTGATTGTAGATCTGAGCAAAATGAAATTGTTTACAACTTCAATCTTTTCTCCATCTACCATAAAGCTTCCCATTGGTCCACTGGTTCTGTAATGAGCATTTTCGTTTTCTTGATGTTAAGATGTAACCCATATAAGCCACAATGATGGCTGTAGTCTTTAATCTTCTGCAGCAAATGCTTCAAGTCTTTCTGACGTTCCGCAAGCCAGTTTGTGTCATCTGCACAGCACAAATTGCTGGTGAGTTTTCCTCCAATCCCGATTTTAGAACTAGAGTTCAGCATTTATCTTATTAAAATAGAGTATGATAATTAAAAAAGAACTCTGGTGGTGTCGTTCATACTGTGTTATGCTGCTAACTGAAAGACCGAGCGTTGCAGTGGTTCAAATCACCACCTGTTCTGAGAATCTAGATGAGGCCATTTGATTTGTTAAGATTTACAGCCTCAGAAACTTAGTGTGGGGGGGTAGGGGGGGACTCATCGTGAGTGGATTTTCATTTCAGTGAGTCCTCCTTGGACCACACCTCTTCTGAGCAATGGCAGATAGGACCTGAAAGACCCCAGGAAAATCAGAACACACCATAAGGATTGAGAAGATATTTTAAGATTTAACACTATCTGTTAAAAAAATAAAAGAGTTAGAGGAATATTCTATTTCTTTTTTAAATTCGAAAGCACTTGACCAAATAAAAGCATCATGTACTTACTCCCTGTCATGGATTGAACTGTGTCTTTCCCAAAATGC